GGCCATCTCGGGCAACCAGAAGTAGACTGATGCCCTCTTGACGGACCCTCTCCAGGACCCCTGGGAGCAGAGCGATCGGGGAAAAGCATACAGGCGAAGCTTCGGCCAAGCCTGTACCATGGCATCCAACCCCAGCGGGCTGGATGTGAGAGGGAGACCAAAGTGGACAGTGGGACGTCTCTCGAGACGCAAACAGATCCACTTCCATCGGTCCGAACCTCTCCCATATCGACTTCACCACCGCCGGATGAGTCTCCATTCCCCGGGCCTCAAGCCCCTGCCTCGACAGGATGTCTGCTCCCCGATTCTGAACCCCTGGGATATACATTGCCCTTATTGACAATATCTTCCCTGGGACCAAAGGATAATCTGATGCGCCAGTTTGCACAGAGGGCGCGATCTGAGTCCCCCTTGTCCGTTCAGATAGGCCACCACTGACGTATTGTCCGTCCGTATTAGGACGTGGCGACCCTCGATGTCTGGGAGGAAGCTCCTCAAAGCCCTGAACACAGCCATCATCTCCAGGCAATTTATATGCCAAGTGCGATGATGGTCCTGCCACAGACCCCTGGCAAAGCGGCCGTCCATGACCGCGCCCCAGCCAGTAAGGGAGGCGTCTGTCGAAACGGTTTCCCGGCGACATGACACCCCCAACACTGGCCCTTGGGATAGGAACCAAGGCTTCTTCCATATTTGCAGAGACTGAAGGCACTTGCGCGTTACTCTGATCATACGGAACGGATTCCCTTTGGGTGAGAACCCCTTGGTCTTCAACCACCACTGGAGGGGTCTCATGTGAAGGAGGCCCAGAGGAATAATGTTGGATGCCGCTGCCAGCATCCTTTGAAAGTGTTTCACAGTGACGGCCTGGCCTAGCTTCACCCTGGATACCATCGCCAGAATTGACTCGATACGTGCGGGAGACATGCGTGCCTGCATTGTAATCGAGTTCCACACGACTCCCAAAAAGGTCGTGCCCTGGGACGGTTCTAGCACACTCTTCTTCAAATTGAGTCTTAACCCAATTTTTGAATATGGCCAAGAACGACATCTCGATGCCGAACTGCCATCTCCCGAGACTGGGCCAGAATAAGCCAGTCGTCGAGATAATTCAATACCCGAATCCCTTGAAGTCTCAGTGGAGCAAGGGCCACGTCCATACACTTGGTAAATGTGCGGGGAGAGAGTGCTAGGCCGAACGGAAGAACCCAATATTGGTACGCTTCGCCCCGAAAGCGAACCTCAGGTACCTCCTGTGACATGGAAGGATGGAGATGTGAAAATAGGCGTCTTTCAGATCTATCGTGACAAACCAGTCCTCGGACCTGATTTGATTCACGATTGTTGGAATGGTCAACATTCTGAATTTGAACCTTCTCAGAGACCGGTTCAACACCCTGAGATCCAAAATTGGCCTTAACCCCCATCCTTCTTTGGAACTATAAGTACCGGCTGTAAAACCCGGACTCCCTGTCTACCGGAAGAACACGTTCTATGGCTCCTTTCGACAGCAGAGTCTGTACTTCTTGTTCCAGCACCTGAGCCTGCTCTGGGACCACCGCAGTGAGCACCACCCCAGAAAACTTGGGGGGGGCGGTGCGCGAACTGCAGTCTGTACCCAACTCGTATTATCTGCAGGACCCATGGAGATATGTTGGGAAGATGATACCATTCCTCTACAAAATCTACTAAGGGTACCAGCCTCTCGAGGCTGGCCTCTGTGTCTTCAGGGTATTCTTTTCGACTACCTGAAGCTGAATATTGGCAGGCTGTAGTCGATTCGGTCCCTGCGACCATAACCGATGTTTTAAAATCGTCTTTTCGCTGGAAATTGATGCGGCCCGAAACGCTGTTAACGGCGGACCTGCATCTTTTCCTAGAGGGCCCCGCTGTGAGAACAACCTCGGTTGTCTCACTGCGGAGGGGGCAGCCCTCTGAAGTCCTGCCGTGGCTAGGACCTCTTTTTCGAAGTCCTCCTAGCCTGAATGACGTCCCTCAGGTCGCCCCTCTGGCCGGAGGACTTCTGTTTTTGGGAGCGTTTCCTCTGTTGCCAAGACCCCGGAGGGGGGGCTCTAGAGGAAACGCTCTCCTTCTGCACTGTCCTGTGGGAGGAGCTAGCTGATGGCTGGGGCTGATCGCTTTGCCCCACCCTACTAGATTTGGCCTTCGCTTTCCGGGGGAGGTACTGCTGGAACGCCGCAGATTGTTTTCTCGACTCCTGAAACCTGTCGACAACCGAATTAACAGCGTCGCCGAACAGGCCAGAAGCCGAAAGCGGCGCATCCAGCAGGAAGGACCTATCCTTTTCCTTAATTACAGATAAGTTCAGCCACAGATGCCTCTCCGTGGCCACCATGGCCGCCATAGAGCGGCCAATAGCGCTGGCTGCTTCCCTAGTGGCCCGGAGAGACAAATCTGCGGCCTTCCTCAACTCCGAGATGTCCTCAGGAGTAGGCGCCTCCCCCTCATCCAAATCCTTCAGGAGGTCGGCCTGGTATGCCTGCAAAATCGCCATCGAGTGCAGACATGAACCAGCCCGACCCGCCGCCATGTAAGCCCTGCCCACTAATGCAGATGTTTCCCTGCAGGGCTTACTAGGCAACACCGGGGTCTTTAGGGAAGACGCCGATTCGGGAGAGAGATAGCTCGCTAAAGCCTCCTCCACCTTCGGCATCTTCCCATATCCCATATCTCGAGCCCCCACAACATTGCTGTAATCTATTATACTGGGACTCGAAATACGGGACGAATGCGGTCTTCCCCATGTTTTCGAGATCTCCTTATGGAGATCGGGGAAAAACGGCAGACCCCGGCGGTGAGGCTGTGACCTGCGCTGCAGGTAACGCTCGTCCATTTTACTTGTGACTTGCGTTTCCTGCTCAGGTTGTGGCCAGCTGATGTTTAGTCTGGCCACAGCGCCACTTTTATACTTCCGGGTATGCCGTCACATGTTACGTCACGACGCAACACCAATCAGGATTGGATTAGTTTCATTCATACTTCAGAGGCGCACGCTTATGGCTCTTTCAGACTGCACGATTTTCAAAGTAGTCAGGTCGCTGCTCTTTTCACACTGCATGACTATCTTGGCCAGCATTCAGTCGCTGCTGTGTTCACACTGGACGATGGATCGGCGACAGAAGGTTTCACAACCTCCACCAGCTCCTCATAATTTAGGCCGCGTGATGGCGCGCTGAGATCACGGTCGTCCGCATCAATGCTGAGCACGTCCATTTCCTCAGAAGCAGACAGCTCAAGCATCGGGACCTGATCGCGGGCAGGAGAAACCGCAGCGCGGGCTCCCACACCACTCTCAGAGGCCGCGGGATCAGCCGATGGAGAGCGAGAAAATGCCTCAGCATTCTCACTCTCCTCCGCCAGATCCCGCTGTGAACCCCAGGATCTCAGTCGCCGCAACGCCTCGACATATGCGGGACCGGAACCCTGGGGAACACGAGCCTGACCGTGCTCGTCAAAGCACGCCAGCCGGGAGCGCAGCACTCTAATAGGCATAGCCTCACACATTTCACAAGCAGCCCCCTCGAGAGCTGCCCGTGCGTGCTGCACTCCCAAACAATTCACACAGAGAGAGTGTGCGTCCCCACCCGTGATGTAACGAGGGCAGGGATGCACACACTTCTTGAACTGCTCACTGGCCATTCTTTCCAATAATAAGACAAACAACTTACCAAATAAAATCAGACAGTTTCAACATAAAGCGCTTGCTGAAGAGCGAAAGCTAGTGTGTGTTGTGACAGCGTCACTTTTATACTTCCGGGTATGCCGTCACATGTTACGTCACGACGCAACACCAATCAGGATTGGATTAGTTTCATTCATACTTCAGAGGCGCACGCTTATGGCTCTTTCAGACTGCACGATTTTCAAAGTAGTCAGGTCGCTGCTCTTTTCACACTGCATGACTATCTTGGCCAGCATTCAGTCGCTGCTGTGTTCACACTGGACGATGGATCGGCGACAGAAGGTTTCACACTGCATGACTTTAGAAAAATCGCCGACAGACTCTGTCTAGCACGCTGCACGCAAACTACATTTCACAACAAACACGCGTGAGATATGAAAAGGAAACAACGCGCGACACCACACGTGCAAGACCGGAGTTCTCACGTGAGACTTTTTTTTTCGACCCGGTTGTGGTACAGCTGGTGAAACAGACACGAGTGCTCCTGCCAAATTTCTACTAATTTTTCTTCCATTTATTGTGTCCAAATAGACCGAGAAGAAGCTTTTTTTGTTGAAACAATGCCATATCATGTTGATATGTGATCTATAACTCCTCCCCGAACTCCCTGCTGCTCTGTATCTTGCTCTCTCACTGGCTGCCGGTGATCGCCGATGTAGTTTTCAGTCAAAACACTTTTCACACAGCAGGATTTTGAATCGCCGACAGGTCCAGATATTTAGCATGCCAAATATCTCACGGGCGTCGGCGACTCGTCGGTGATTCTCTCAGTTCGCGTCTTTGTTCA